AATTTTGTAGGAAATTTAATGCTCTACAAAAAAGGTATCTTATACTTTTTCCATAAACCTCACCATTTGAATGATATTGAAGATTTAAGTTTGATTATTTTAAGACAAATTTCATTTTTGTTAATGAATTATATAACTCTCAGTCCAATAGAATAAAATTTATACCTCATTACTTATTGATTGTACAGAAAAATGTTTTGGACAAATTTTGTAGGAAATTTAATGCTCTACAAAAAAGGTATCTTATATTTTTTTTGCAAACTTCACCATTTGAATGATATTGAAGATTTAAGTTTGATTATTTTCAGACAAATTTCATTTTTGTTTATGAATTTTATAACTCGACAATAAATGACTATTATAAAATGCGTAATACAAATTTTTGTAGAAAATTAAGTGCTCTTTAAAAATGGTGTCTTATGTTTTGGCGATTAAGTTAAGGGTTCAAAAGATATTCATCATCAAACATATATATATAATACTGTATTTCTATATAGAAATACATACTGACTGTATACACCGGACTATGTATATATAGTACTATATACATACCAGACTATACATATATACATACTGAATATATGTCACTGTTATTTCTTAATTTATTTACTAATTATTTACAAAATCAATGAATTTTACATGTTTTAACCGTAAATCATGTAAACGTGCATACTTATTAAGATATTTTTAAATTTCATTTAATATAAAATGTTTTATTTGTTTTAACATATTATATATACATATACACATGTGTATTATACACATTTATATTTCATGTTATACATACATGCACACATATACACACATGTATAATTATTTCATTAATAATATGCTTTATGCATATAGCCAAATTGATCAAATATTAAAAACATTGTTTTAAATTACATATTATTTGACATTTACATAATATTCATTCAAATTACATATGATTACACAGATTTGTACCAATATTAATTCTATGTATATATTTTTATTTTACATAATATAATGTATATATGTATATTGTTATTGATATATGTGATAAAATGTTATTACAAGATAAGATAAGAAGTTTATTTCAGGTATACCCTTTTAGGGTGTTTACCCCGAAGGCCCCCCCTATATGTTCGTTCCCCTTGACAATATACTTAATTCTAATTATGCCCTAATATAATATTGGCTATTAGTATTAACAATATAAAACAATATAAAACAATATAAACAACATTAGACATATACCACATTTAGTAACTATATAGACTATATAAAACTATAACATATATATACTTCATATTCCTTACATCTATTTCCTTATAAAATGTTATTACAAGTTTTTTTTTTTTTTTTAATACAGTAACGCTTAAGTGAATCACTTTAAAAACTTAATGTAAAAAGGGGGAAATATGTAATTTATTTATTTGAAAAAAAATATTCTTTATNTTTTTTCTTAATTACAAATTAATATTATTTATAATTTTTTTGTATACGTTTATTTAATACAGTAACGCTTAAGTGAATCACTTTAAAAACTTAATGTAAAAAGGGGGAAATATGTAATTTATTTATTTGAAAAAAAATATTCTTTATTTTATATAAAATAAAATGTTTCATTCAAAAAAAAATTTTAATTAAACAGAATGTATTTATATTCTGTTTAAAAATGTGTATAACAAAATTAAAATTAAAAACTGTAAAATTTAATATTGAAAACTGTAAAAAAGAAGATGAAAAAGAAAATCTATGATTGATTTTAATGAAAAATTTATTTTCATTTATTAAAATTGAAGAATAATATTGAAAACTGTAAAGAAGAAGAAGAAGAAAAAGATTTGTGATTTATTTTAATGAAAAATTTATTGTTGTTATATTGCTTCCTATACAGTTATACTGCAATTAAAAAAAATAAAATTTTTTATACTGATAAACTTGTTCTAAGTGTTTTCCATTAGTAATAAATATATCTATCTATATATATATATACATGTAATATGTCAATGACGATTAATGCAGTAATCTATAAATCTTGAAAATGATCAAATTTTACAGTATTCCGTTAATGGCTTCTCATTTTTACATTTCCAAAGTAGTATTTTAATAGAAAAAGACAAAATAAATATTCCATTCTTTTTTTCTTTTTATTTTTTTAATTTATATAAATGTTTTATACCATTTAAACAGAATATAATGTACATATTATATATACAAGATGTCCTATTAAAATTTATCTACTTAAATATCTTCGAAACTATTAAAAATAGAAAACTAAAAAAAATATTTTATACAAAAATCCATTGATTTAGGGTGACACGTTTAATGTTTTTATTTTCTAAGTGAACTCATAAAAATGTCACACGAATATAATTTTTAATTTTTCGAAAATAACATTTTTAA